CAACCTCTACATACTAGGATGCATCACAAACCAATGATGAATTTCACCCCCTGCAAAACTCGACAGGAGTATCTCGGCAGTATGTAACCTTTACCTTCACATGAAACTTTCTGTTTGTATAAAAAATGGTACAACTGCAGGAAGAAACCTGCATGAACTGATGAACTGGAAAATGGAATCTTCCGGTATAGAAGAACCAATAAACACTGACAAAAAGAATGTCAACTGCACCTGAGCATCAGGTTGGGAACCCCATTTCAACTGCACCTGAGCATCAGGTTGGGAACCCCATTTCCTAATTAAAATCCCTATCTTTGGACAAAGAAAACTGCAATAAATGCTGGGACCTGCATGAACATATACAACTTGACCACCAAAGACCATTTGAGTGACTCGCACCAAAAAAAAAATGCTTCTCAACATTCTGGCAAACCAAAGAATTCAGACCAGGGATTCATAAAATCACGAGACAGCTGCAGCTGGTTCTGTGGCCTTGGCTAATTTTTCCTTCTCAATCTCTACTCTCCTTTGTTCAGCATGCTGAGCAACACCATTGGCGAGAGCTTGATAATGGAAATCAAGTGTCTGCGTCAAGTTCTGGAATCTAACTGGATCGGATGCTTGCAAAGCTACAAGATATAATTGGAGGGCAGATTAGGAAACAGTTTAACAAGATACATTAGTACTAACTAAACTCAATCAAGGGTTCAAAGAGTGACGAATTACAAACATACCTTTGACAGTGTCGACAAAGAAAATAAATGGATCAATATCATCAATGGGAGATTGCAACTCTTCATCATCACTGAAATCATCATCCGAGTCATCATCATCGAATTCAGTGCTACGGAAAGCCTTGGCCTGCATCATCATCATAGATTCATAAAGGCATGTAGTACAAATGGATAATAAAAGCACAATGATTCAAGAATCTCCAATGTATATTAGGTCTCCCTCTGTAATGATAGTGGAACCAGGCTAGTCTTCTTCTAATAGTGTGCTCAAGACATCCAGGATTATTGAAAGAAAAGAAAAAAAAAAAAAAAAAAATTTNAAAAAAAAAAAAAAAAAAAATTGAGTTACAAACACATGCTGAGTACTGTCACTGTAGATGCCTCTGAACTGGAAAAAAACTATATGCAACTCAGGAATTTCATTTTGCTATGTTCTAACTCCCAACATCCTATAGAACACTTCGTATCATCATTGTTTGAAGTCTGTTAAAGGATAATACTGACCCTAGCAGCCAATTTCTGAAGTTTAGCACTCTCAGCTTCATCTCCATCCTCTGCATCTAACCCCATATCCTTGTCGGAATCAACTTCATCATCATCCTCATCCTCAGTTTGAAAATTGTCCATGTCATCATCATCTTCACCCTCTTCCTCCTTTGCAGATTCTGCTTGAAATTAAAGCGTAAATAAACACACATTCTAAACAAGTACAATAACCAACATAGTAACCAAGACGCAAGACTTTCATCGGACAACTGTTTCATAGATATGCGACGGAGATGCAGCTGACCTGCCAACTGATCCTTATAGGCGACAAGCAGGTCAAGAGTAGACTTGAAAACACGCTCCAATGCTTCTCCCGGAAGCTGATCAGCAGAGAGAGGGAGCAATGATGTCAAGCCCAAGCAGCATACCTTTTTATCCTGTTCCCTGTAAACAAAAATGTGCGATAAACCATAAGCATGTAATTTTACCAGAGACGAGGAAAATAACAAATTCAAGCAAATTAAACAGATACCTCTTAAAGTTAGCACGTTTTCCACTCTTTTTAGTTTGTTGCAACATCTGGAACCAGAGGTTGAAAACTTCTGTTGCGACATTAAGCTTTTGCAGTATGTTGAGTGTCAACGATGCATTGTAATACAGGGCATCAGCAACCTGCCAAAATCACCTCGTTTCATTTTCCAGTTCTCAACAAACCACAAGTTTCAACAAGGTTATAGAAAAATGCACTGCAATAGTCATCAAGAATACTGCAACACTCAGTCCCTCATGCAAAATCAGTAATCCTTCCAGTCTTTCGATTACCCAAAAAATGAGCACAAACCAACTTGCATGTAACGCTTAAGTTGATCGAAAAGTGAGAAAACTCATGCCTATGTACACAGAATAAGAGTCATGGATACATGCACCGACAGGAACAAGCCAAAGCCAGAATACAATCGAACCAGTCTATGTTGCACACATACGACCACGTTGTCTAGGAAGGGGAATCATCCACATATATATCCTCAGGAAGAACTAAAAATACATTTCATAGCAATACCTTTACCTAAGAACCTTTCCAGTTCATACCAGCTGCCGATGACCCAAGACTGAATTAACTGTACTAACCTCTTCCAATGGATAAACAACAATGTGTCGAGATTGTTCAATTCTAAGCAGATGTGTACAAAAGATCGGAATCGAGCAAGAAACGCCAACTTAACAGACAAATTTGATATGGAATCACTTATTAAAACAACTGCGTACAAGCAACTGAACAGCTCTTCTTAATGAAAGCGACTAGACATCAACTACCGTGTAATCTAGAGATCAAGCATCTCCTCCCAGAAAAGTACCATAATCCACAAGCAAATTTGATATTGAATCACGAATGAAAACAAGTTTGAACCGAGTTCAAGCAACTGCACAGCTTTCAGTGAAAGGGACTAAGCATCTGCTACTGTGTAATCTAGGAATCCAGCATCTCCTTAGTGAAGTGACATAATCCTCGAGCAAGATAACGACTTTCCACATAAAGATATACCATTAATAATTTCAAATAAATTCTACTCCATCCTGAACTAGTAAAAGCTTCACATTTTTTCCCAGTATAACCAGCAAAAAGTGGAAAAAATGGTATCATACAAACAAATCGCTAACGCATATAGATGAAACATGTGTCTACAAAGGTACTCGAAAAAAATAAACATTGTAAATTACATTTTGCTCAAAGAAACTAAGTTTTAGCAAGGTGGCACAGCTCCACAACAGTAGTTCCAAATTTCTATTCCAGTGACAAAGTTTAGCTAGGGAATGCAAGGAAACATTAGTTGCTTACCACTTCCATCAAGAGGCATTTTAAATAAGGTCTCTCAGTGCGACGCAAACGCTCCATAGTGATTCTCAAGTACGGCTCAACCCAGTGATCAACCTGACCCCTACAGTTTTGGAATACCACTTGAATGAGCTTGGGTGCCGGCTCAATATCACCATCCTCCAGATTTTTGTCACCCATCACCTGTGAGTAACACGAACATTAGCTAAAACATTTCAACAGATTCGTCTAACTAGACTCATAATACGACAAAGTCCACTCACAGACGAAATCATGTTCCAAAGGCTCTGCTGATAATCTGGCTCCTTGCATGTAAGAAAATGTGCAGTGCTTCTGGATATATAGTTATCTAAAGGCACCAAGATATCTGAACATTTGACAGGCATGAGAGATATTACGAAGCTAAAACAACAACTTCCAAGAACAAACGTAATCCGACATTTTTAATAACCAAATTAGTAGCACAAATAAAACTGTAAATCACTTTCACAGCACCAACAGCATAATCCAACAAATGTACAACACTAGTAAGGCATCTCAACTAAAATGCAGATATGGTCAGATACTTTGAAATCTAAAGTTTAATAGTTCAATAGCAACACAAGACTGCAAGCATACAGGATTCAATAAATGAAAGCCCTCTCTAATATTTAAAATGCAGATATGGTCAGGTACTTTGAAATCTAAAGTTTGATAGTCTAATAACAACACAAGACCGCTAGCATACAGGATTAAATAAATGAAAGCCTTCTCTAAGAATAGAATCACATTTTCCCAGGATTAAAATAAGTTTGCAAGTAAAAAGTAACCTGGTTAGGCACTACATGCTAGAGATCAATACCTATGACACCTACAGGTCAAAATATTCAAACAAAACTGATGCCAGTACATTTCGTGCATAATCCATAGGACCAGAAAACAAAATGCAGGGGATAAAAGAATTTTAAAAAAAAAAATCTAAGTTTACTGATAAATAACAAGTGTAGAGATCAACAAAAACATGATCAATATAAAAAAGGTAGTTAAATCAAGAACCAAACCTCACAGTGGTCACTCGAAACTGGGCTGGCTAATTTGTAATATATAGGTAGGAACACCGGAATAAATTTCAAGGGTTCAATTTCAAGTAGTATGAGTAGACGTGCACAGGATAGAACTTCCAAAACCAGGACCAGAGATGGCTAAGCTAAGCATGATGTGGATCACAATTATAATAATCTCACCATTAATGCTTCAAAATTTTATCATATTCATCGAAAGGTAAAATAAACAAACCAAACAAGCAAAATCAAATGCAAAAATAGAAGGCAATGTGGTCATAAGAAATTTAAAGGTTAAATTATAGCAACATACTTGGGAAAAAATCAATTGCCCAATCAGCCAGATCTTCCATCATTAATGGCCAAAGACTCCACATTTCCAAGGATATCGTAGGTGAGAAAAATGTCATATAAGAGACAATCTCCAAGACTTCCTCAAAAACCTCTGCAAGATTACATAGTTGTCAGAAGCAAACAAGAATATCACTGAAGTACTCAGAAGTTTAGCTCTCTTTTCAACATCAATCATTTTACAAATCTTCCACTATAAGATTCTTTACCAAATGCTTCCCCAACCATGACACCTACTCAAGAGACAACAGTTACCAAATCCTGGATCAGAAGGCAATAAGCATCTGATCGCTTGAATATACTCAATACAAAACATAAGCAAAATTCATGCTTGGGCATAGCTAATAGATATAATTTAGTTTAGCAATCAGGCATCTCTCCAATATCAAACTCCAAAATTCACCCTAAAAATCACACGCACAATAAGAATATTGATATAATGATGACTGAATAACTGAAACGTCAAGATAGCGAATTTTTCTTAACTCCTGTGTGGTTTAGCTGAATATGCATCCACTATAGAACTGCCTACAGCTTTTAACAATCATTAAATATTTCTGTTGAAACATGAATCTCCACAACAAAGTTAGAAGGCAGCCACCTTGTCCATCTGTAGTCAGCATCCTCGACATTATCGGCAATAAAGTTGGCTCAATATGTGCGAAGAGATGAGGCAGTCTGCTGACTGACTCAAGGATTGTGCTTATAGCACGCAAACAACCAACAGCAGCTAAAGCACCAGGATCATCACCTTCCTCATCCGCTTCAGCAGTATTCATGCACTTCCAAAATGCTGCAGCCTGAAAATCAAAGTTGGTGATTCCAAAGATAACAAAAAACAGTAAGTTAAAAATGTCCTATGTTAGTAGATTAGTCCTACCAAATTCTGGCACAATCCGAGAGCATAGGGAGCCATCTCCTCTCCAAACTTGTCTACTATTGTCTCAAGAGTAAACACAAGATCTTCATTCTCCACTTCGTTCATAAGTTTGAAAAACTCTAAAACATTATTTTAAAAGTAAAGAAAATCCAGTTAGAATGGTGCAATAAGCAAAGAGCAAAGTGGAAGGGAATTTCACAAACCATCGAGTAGTTGTGGAAGAATTGGTCGGATTTCATCCAAATCTGTATAACAGAATAATGATTGGTCAGGCATTTGTGTAACATTAAATTTCTACAGCAATAAAAAGAGACATAAAGCAAGGAAAACTGCACCATTGCAGGCTTCCACAAAAGAGCGCAAAGCAAATACAGAATCAACACGAACAGGAAGTTCTGGGTCACGCATTCCAGCAACAACACTGTGCAATGCTCCTCGGAAGTTATTGGGATCAGAAAAATTAATATGTGCATATTGCCCTGCAACCCAAGCTGCCTGAAATCCAGTATTGTTGGAAAGAAATACAACAATGCATAAAAACATGGCGGGAAGAAAAAAATAATAATAATCCCATCATGGATAAATAACATATCAAGACTGCAGAAGATGTTGAAATACAAAAATCTCCCTTAGCTGACTATAGCAGGCATGAAATAGTGGTATGATCATTTAACACTAAACAGACTATGGAACACATATATTATCCATGTTTCAATTAGAACTCAGAAAAAGGGATGCTGTGAACTTAATGCCCTTTTTGTTCTTCTTTCCAACTACCTGTTGCCATTTTCCAACCAATCATACAAATAAAATCTTGTATTCTTGTTTGTCTTTAAATTTTTTCATTGAAATCACCATTTACAATTTTCATTTGCCACGTCAAATCATCTTCCAAATTGTAGGCCCCACCACTGCCTCCACTCTCTTACTAAAATAACATGACATTTATCTAATGGGACACACAACCTATGTCATCGTATCCATGTTATATTTTACATCCAAGTTAAAATGATGAAAATGGACCCCACCAACAACTTGTAATTGCTATATACACAAAAGATTGTTTGAAAAAATCATATGAAGATACTCTTAATTTCCACTTGCAAACTCATGCATTCTCGAAACACATTCCGTAACATTAGAAAACGGAAATTGGAAATGGAAACACAGCATCTATAAGGAACATGTACCTATGTGTGTGACAACAATACTATTCAAGACAAAGTACCTTAGCCCTAAGATGCCCCACAGGACTCTTGAACTCAGGGAACACATGTTGTACAAGCATGCGTTCCAGCTCAGATTTGTATGGTTCTGTCTGCTTTAACTTATCACACAATGCTCCAATGGCAAGAAGTGCCCCATCTTTCTGTCTATAAGGCTTATATTCTGCTGTTGCCTCATCGTACCTAATAATATATGGTCATGAGTGGATCAAAAAGATATCTTCAAGTTATTTAATTAAACAAGTTGTGGTAAACGAGATGATACATATACATACCTCTTAAAGATCTCTACAATAAATAATAAGAACTTCTGGAGATTCTCCTTTCCCCGTTTCCTGACAAGCTCACTCACAAAATCCATTGCGGCAGTTCTTGGGCTATATAAATCCTCGATTATGTCTAGAGACATGAACAAACAATTAGATGTGTCCAACTCTATTTAGGAGTTCAAACAATACACGAGAAATGTAAGACGGGATTCTCAACAGACCATAGCCCTTCCTCACATATTCATGTGGGTCTTCATCCCAAAGCCGTTGATCATTGTCACTGAAGCACATAAGCGGAAAGATAATCTCAAAAAGAACAACATCGAGTCTTGGCTGCAGCTGACTGTACATATTAGTTTTTGAAATGCTGCAAAATGATCAACAACAAAATCAAGACAAGCATTGGGGGAAAAATAGATCCAGAAAGCACATATATTAGCCTTACAAGAAAAAACTAATTTTTCTATAAAGAATGATTCCTGAGAAATTTTGGATATCAAATTGTTCAACATACATCATCTTTTCTCAGGTTCAGTAAACAACAGATATGGACAATACAGGTATTCAGTTTCCCCACCAAACCAGACTGTTAAATATATATATTCTGAAGGGAAGGAATAGATTCCCATAACTTAAGTTACTCTTACAATTCTTTGTTCATTTGCAATCCTAAGGTGATGACAGAGAACTGTCTTACTGCAATCTTATTAATATTATCCCATCCAATATGGTGATAATAATAAGACCCAATACAGTATGGTGAACTTCACTCAAAAAACATTTAAAGGTTTTCTTTAGATTATTGAAAAATAAGTATAATAGGTTTACTAGCGACCACATTGCAGAACACGAGGTACACATTTTTAAACTAACTAACTGAGAAGATGCTAGCATCAACCGTTAATAGAATTATTGCACTTACCTATTACTGAGATATTGCAGAATAAGATTAATTACTCTATCAGGCAAATAGCCACCAACACGAATCACATTCAACAAATTTAGATGGCACTCCAAAATCTTCCCCGCGTAATTCTTCTGGAACATTTGGGCAAAGGCTTTGTTATCTGGGTTTTGAAGCTTTACATCCCCAAACCTTGAAAAATGCAAAAGTATCAATTTGAATCAAGTTATACCAAAGAATTGGGCTTATGATACATCATGTCACATCAATTGATTGTAATTTATACTTATTGTACATATAAATAAAAGCTACAAGCATACAACCACAACTATAGATTATACACTTCTTTCTATTATTTTGATTAACTTTTACAAGTCCATATTTCAAACAAGGCTCATGATACATCAGTTTATTTCAGTCATATGCCCAAAAGTGTATACCGAGTATAAAGGCGGTTTAATATGTGAACTGTCCACTTCTTAACTTTCCACCAACCCCACGATTTTCTCAGCTCAAAATCAGCAGGTTGTCCTTCCACAGGGACAGGCTTCTCTAGAATATTCAGGAAGAGAACCATCCAGGCATTGAATACATTTGGGTCAAACAACTGCTTCGGAACCTCCAGCTGAGGAGTGGAACACATCAATTAGTAGGCATTAGATGTTATTTACAATTCAAAGTCAGGAACTATCCATGTAAACTTGATTGTTTAATAGTATGGGTGCAGTCGCAGGAAGGAGATTATCAATACTAAATATAAGGAGCGGTACAAGGTTCGAACTCTGTATCAGCACTTTAAAAGAATAGTTGTACCACTTGAGCTACATCATCGCGGTATACAAGTAAAAATTGATATACTTTGTCAAATGGTTATAGCATAGTTAAACAAATATTATTACATTATACAAGCTATAAGAAATTCCAAATTTATCATGTGTAAGTTATTAGACAATAATCTTATGAGGATAATCAGGCCACCAGATATTACACTGGTTATGCAAAATTATATTACATTCTTATTTAAAGCTGCGAAAATGGATGTGCAACGAGAAAACATAGGTGCCCAGTCCATCAAATTAAAACAAGTTTAAACATCACGGAAGTGACATCTTACGTAAATAGATGACCAGAAGATTTTGCAAATCAGCTTGATCAAATCTGCCACTTCAATTGGAGGATTTGCAATCTGAACAAGCTGGTTAAATATGTTGAGCAGTGGTGGAAATGTTTCCGCAACAATGTGATCAACTGGCAGTCTTTCATCATCAGACTTAAACCTGTCAATTACAAAATCAAGAAATCAGTATAACAGAGATCATAAGCATCAATTAATTTAAGGACAAGGTAAGGAACATCTCTTATAGTAACTCAAGAGATCATGTGTTGCTTCTTTATATAAGTTTTGTGACTGTTTGATCAAAATCAAGACACATAAGCTTGTCTGTAAAAAGGGAACCATCACAGTTTCACCAAAGATTAAGATTGTCAAAAAAAAAAAGAGTCTAAAATCATGTTAAAACTGTGGACAAGATGAGTTCTACAGCTTTACACTGACTACATAATCGCCTCCAGAATTTATATTTCGTGTTAGGAAGTATCTAAATCTAATAACATGGCCATGAATTTCAGTAACACATTCCATGATGATGACAGGCAACATTCTTAATCCACAATCTAAGAGTAGAAGTTAATGCACTTGCACATGCATAAGAGTATGGGAACCTATATTGATTAAACTAAACCAAGAAGAATTGATACAGGGCAGGCCAAGGTTCACAGGAATTATACGATGCCGACATTTCGACAGCATCTTTGCCTTCACATAATGAAAGACAAGATCTATCAATATCATTAAGATTGTAAAAGGCAAATAAGGGACAAGATATTTAAGAAGAGCACTTCAAATTAACCCACTCATATTTTCTAGAAATGATCCTGAGGACAAATAAAGCTCCATAAACTTGCTGGTCCTGCAAATTATGCTTCACCCAATGCAAAAGAGATGGCCACTGCTCAGGGTAATCTGCATGTATAATCGTTTTCAAGCATTCACCCAGCTGTGATCTGTTCAAACCAGGAAATGATGCAGACAGTCAGTTCACAGATAATTAAATTCCAACCAAGTAATTCAAGTACACTTTGCTAATTAATTCACACATAATTGTCCAGTGACAAAACCAATTCGGAGTAGCCTCAGTTCAAAATTTGACTATTTGGAAGCAAGTTACAAATACTTATGTCACGACCTCGTCACTAATTGAAGATAGCAGCATGAACAAAGAATAAGGCTATAAGAGAGGTGAGCATCAGTGATACCTCAAAAGTGGGGGAACTTGGGCCACAAAATTGAGAATGTTATGTCTCACAACTTCCTTGTCCTCGGGTAAGATCTTTGATATTTCACCTATTAGCACATGAAATGCAAAATTATGTGCATACTCAAGCTTCGGTCATTATCAAATTTCGACACCAAAATACAAAAATCCCTGTAAATCAACTGGCACACTCAGGTTTTACCTTCAAAATGCGAATTTCCCATCAATGGTAAAAAGACCCAATCGGGCTCTAAGAAAAATACTACAGCTCTTATAGTGACTCAAGAATTTCAAGAAAATAAAAATTAAGAAAACAAAAGTATTTAGGACAAAAGTAACATATTTTATATTTGAGATTTCTTCAAGAGCTCCAATCTTTATGGATTATTTCCTGACATGTGAAAAGAAGTTTTGCCTCTAGAGCCACTAGTCAATGGAAGCCTTCAGGCGATAGAAGAAAAATAAACAGGATTGTTTGGGAAACAGCCATTTCAATCATACCAATTATCTGGAAACAAATTGTAACTCCTAAAAAACAGTTAATCTGGACTCAAAAAGAATCAACCTCATGAATGTGTTGCTTTATACACCAACTTACCAGGATCATGAGGCTCCCAGTTTTTGGCAATAAAATTCTTAAAGGAAATGCTGGCCACCTGTCTGACCGCCATATCGCAATTTCCTTCAACTATTATCTGAAGCAGTCTGACCAAATGCTGGGGCACGTACTGAAACTGCAGTAATCCAATAAAAATAGAATTAAATATCGACAGAATCGAATCTCAGTAACTCCCCTGAATCGAACGCACGCATCATGAGCTTTGCAAGATAAATTCAGACTTCGCCCCAACTTCAAGTAATAAAAGAAAAGATTAAATCAGGAAATATTAAATATAGTACCTGATTCAGATTTTCTTCAGCAGCTTTCCGTTCACTGGGATTGGGGCTGAGTGCACCCTGCAGGATCACCACCAGGCTCGGAAGATCCATCACGCTTTCGCTTCAGTTTCTTCTGTAACCAAAACACCCGAATACGGCGGACACACAAACTCTAAACCCCAGGAAAGATGATCTCCAGGCGGAATGATTCTTCCTGGTATCTCTTTCTAGGGCTTAGAGAGAGAAAACGAGATTGCGGTGGGAGAGAGACAGCGAAGAATGTGTGTGCGTGTGTTGGATGTATTTAAATGATTAGGGTTTTAGTGAGGGTTGTTTAACTAATACTATAGTACATTTTACAGTATATGCACTGCACTCTCTCCCATTAAGGCTTCACGACACGCGCTATAATTCAAGAATCCATCTTACATACATCAGATGCGTTATTGACTATTTGGTGGAGCTTTTTATTCAAACTCCATTAATTCCAAAAGTGTGTATAATTTTATATAGAGGAACTAGTGCGTGACCCGTGCGATGCATGAGAAAACAATATTTTGATTGTATTATAAATTAAATAAATAAATAACATTAATCATGATTTACCCATTATTTTTAAATTAAACCGGGTTGGACACAGTCCGATCGGATGGACCGAGAATCGGTTTACAACCAGTATATTGCGCTTGAATAAAATATATGCTATCGAATCCGTCAACATCAGTATGTTGGACTGGTAGGATCGATACGATTTTCTAAACAAATTTTGTTACATTAAAAATTATTTTAAATAAAATTACATATTTAAATAAAATAGAGATTTTTAAATTGTTTATCAATTAGTTTAAACAATTGAATTTATAAATTGTATAGATATTTAAGTAACACTTTTTATTTAAATTTATTACAAAAAGTACTATGTATTATGTATATATATATATATGTGTATATATATATATATATATATATTAAAGTATTATGTATTAAAATCTGAACAACCACAAATGATTTAATAAAATAACTTGATCGTTTTGATGACGTTTCGATTCTGAAAACCTTATATTTACCGTACATTAATAAAAATGATAATAAAATAATTATTTTGTTCACATAAATAATAATAAAATGATATATAAATATTCATAAATTATTAATCATGTTGTCGTAAAAGTATTGTTAATATGATTATTTGAAGTTTGGACTACATAATAAAGTATTTTCAATATCAAAATTTATATTTAGGTTAAATAATCGATTTGGTCTGGTCAAACTGATACATAACTTAGTTAACTGGGACCAACCAAGTTATGTCAAGTTTTTTGACTATTTTAAATATCACCTAAAAGTAATTTAATCAACGTGGGCAATACCCTAATTCAATCACCCGATTGATCCAAAAGTAATTTCATTATTTTCTTTAAATATAATATTTAATTTTATGAAATAAAAAAAAAATTATGATTCATATGTCTACACCAAATGATAGTATATTAAGATTATAAATTATATATTTAAAGATGAATTATTTATTTTTATTTTATGCATATTAATAAAAAATAAACATAGTAATTTAAAAAAAATCAAGATTAATTGATTGGGTATATATATATATATATATATAACATGATTGAATTTTTGAATTAGAAGATATATATTTAAAATGATTTTATTATTAAAAGTCAAAAAGAAAAGATGTCATAAAGATTACAACTTTGAAAAGTTTGTAACCATTAATTTAGGAACCATCCGATTTTAAATGATTTATAATTTTTGAAACAGGATACGTCATCTAAAACCCATTAATTTAGGAATCATCCAATTTTTTGATAATGAATTAAAATTAAAATGTAAATAAAAATTGCTAAAAATAGTATATAATAAATGTGGGTTGACTTTTCCTTATTACTATTTATGGTAAATGTTAATTCTTATTATATATATATATAGATTATTCAAGCCCATTAAATTAATTGGATAGATTTTTTTGTGTTGGATATCAAATTAATTGAATTAGAATATATTTGGTTATAGGCTTCATAATTATGGCTATAGTTGTTCTTAACTAGTACGTAGCCCGTGCGATGCACGGGACATAAATATTAAATGAGTCATTTCCACAGAGCTTGTCTGTTAAGTAGCTCGTGTGATTCACGGGAGATATTAAATGAGTAGACAATAGGGCTTGTCAATTAAGGCCTAAAAAAATAATAGAGTTTGATCATCTATTTTTTTACCTCTTTCATCAACGTCATCTTTTTTGTCGAGACATTAAACCTGAGCCTGGTAGTGGTAGCGCTAGACCGTAAATTAATTAATATATTATCTCGCTCACATGTTTATAATAATATAAATTTGATTTCATTATATATATTTATTCCTTGATATAAGAAAAATAACAATTTTACGTAATATTGTTCCTCGTATAATACTCATATTATTTTATTATAAAATTTATTGTAATAGCATGCTAACCCGTTTGTATTATTATAAATAATATTTTAACATATATATTTATTTTTAATACAAAATAATAATAATAATTTTACATATTTTGGTTCATCATAATACTCAATTATTAATCTATCAAAAAATCTATTATCATACAATGTCACTATTATTTATAACACTTGTAGAAGTAATATATTTGTTATATAATGATAAATATGTAATGTATATTAATATTCTTTAGTGATGTAATTAATTTAAAAAGATATAAGCAAATTTAATGTTTGGTAGGAATGTGATTATATGTAAGTTGAGATAAAATGAAATGTAACAAAAAAATCTGCTTATGATATTTTCCTTTAAATGTTTGAATGAATTTGAAATTCAAATTACAAATCAACCTCCAGTTATTCAAATAATTTTTTAAAAAGTTACCAATTGTAGTAAAATGCACGTGACAATATATTATAAATATACATGACGTCAGTAATGTTATGAATCTTTAAGTTCCTAAAATATATATTGTTTAGATATGAAACTAATTAACTTATATATTAAGATAATATATATAAATATATGTATTGTACGAAATATACACGTGACAAGTTATTATATTTGTTTATATATTGTTTGTATATTTGTATTGTTTATTATATTTGTATATAAATATATTGTTTATATATTTGTCTGTATTGTACGACAAATTATTATATTTGTTTATATATTGTTTAAATATATATTGTTTAGATATGAAACTAATTAACCTATAAATATGTTTGTTAATTTTTTCCCTAAAAAATTCAAAATACATTTAGGCATGTTTTGTTTGAAGTTTGAAATTCAAATATGCATCTATATAACAAATCCCATGATTTGTGCTAGCATTAAATGCTACTTGATTTTTTATTAAAAAAATTAAAAAAAACATACTAAAAATGGAATGCAATTAATATTCCTTATTTTTTTGCTTACTATTTTTGAAAAATATTAATTCTTATTATATATATATATATAGATGTCTTTTACATTTGTGCTCTAAGTTACTACTAATATTGATCATGTGCACATGCACATATATAAATTACAAAGTATTGTAAATTATGTGCATACATAACATTAGAATTATTAAAGAGATGATGTATATATTACATTTCATAAATTTTATTATTAATAAATGAACATTATAAATAAAAATTATTTAACTACACATGAATCACTATATTGAGTGTATAAAATATAATACATACCATATTTTTTGTTACTTTGAGGGATCGTGACCAATTATTACCTACAAAAATACTCAAACAATAATATTTATTACTACTATTATAGAAATTGTTTGAGGGATTTTTTCATGCCATTAAATTGATCATATAATTAAAAGAACTAATATTACTTTTAAAATAGATAGCTTGAAAAAAATGCAATATGATTTTTTATGATTATGTAATTTACATATACCATTTAGTATAAATTATAATTTGTTTATTTTACTAATAACTATTGTATGATAGAATAATCTATTAATATACAAAGAGGGAATGATATTTACCTGAAATAGCAAGAAAAAAATCAGGAAAAAAACATTTCAATTCCCGCCTAAATCATTACTATAATGAGTAATTTTTTGTTCAAAAAATTGAATATGCCCGCAGTCATCAATTCGAATTTTTTGAAGATTTTATTTATTGATTTTAGCTTATTTGGACATATCTATTTTTACAATCTGATTTTTTTAATTCAAAATTTGAAAGAAAAGATCCGCAGCAAAAGGAAAAAGGAGAAAAAAAAAAGGAAGATAATCTCTCTCTTTTCATCCCCAAATAATCTCAACCTACCAAATGGAAGCTGGCCTCCAACGGGAAATTCTCGGTCCACCTATATGCAATTCCACCATGGAATTTAATACTCTCCGGCAGCGCTAGGGGAGGCGAAGGCGGAATTGAATCGGCGCTGGCGGCAAGGGCGGTGCGCAGCCAGAGGGCGCAGCTGGATCGCATGCGCTCCGGCGCCCAGAAGGCGCTCTGGGGGCTTAAGTTCATCAGCGACGGCAAAAAAAGCCACGTCGACGGCTGGAGCGAAGTCGAGAGGAACTTTGCGAAACTCGCCAAAGATGGCTACCTCTATCTATCTGATTTTGGGCAATGCATAGGTTGTTAATTGATGGATAATTGTGCTGCTAATTGCGGTTTGTTGAGCTCAAATGAGTGCTTGATTTTTAGTTACAACTGTAATTTTCTGTTACAGGAATGAGAGATTTGAATGAATTTGCGTTGGAATTGTTCGATGCGTAGAGGAGACGGCTGAAAGTGGACAAAATCGGTAAGGAGGAGCTTTACGAATTATGGTCGCAGATTACAGATCAAAGTTTTGATTCCAGGCTTCAGATTTTCTTCCACATGTATGTTTCCTCATTTTGTACAGTAATTAGTTGGCGTTGAGTTGATTAGCAAGTTAATTACGTAATTAAGCGAAGCGTAAGCAATCAACTTAGGATATATACAATAATGCAATGATATTTAGAAAGTGACAGGGGAGGTGAGTCCAAGTCTTAGATAAATCAACTCGATTTGTATTAGTTGAACCAAGTCCCTAAAAGATTATTCCCAAGGTAATGTCTGCTTAAGAACAAAATTTTCAATTGCTTTTAGGACTCCTACTATATCTGAGCAATTCGTCCACACTTTGTGTTGTTACATGGTAAAAATGCCATTTAGGCTGTGCTTCTATGCTGCTTGGCGAGAAGTGAGGTTGGTTGATGGCCGCGCTCGGTCTTGCTGGAAAGTGAAGGCGGGTTCACTCCATTTACCCGGAGAATTTTTTGCGAGTTTTTTTTACTAGAAATGGACTTTCTATGTTTCGCCGGTAGTGCAGATGGATTTTTCTACGCCGATTCTCGGCCAAAATCGCAATGGCAAAGCTTCAATCAGAAAGATCCAGCAGCACTACAACTTCTTCAAGTTGTTCAACATGGACCACGACGGTAGCCTCACCCAGCTCGAGCTCGCCGCCCTCCTCTGGTCTCTCGGCCTCGAGCCCTCCGGCGACCAGATCCACTCCCTCCTCGCTAACATGGACGCCAACGACAAAGTCGCTGTCGAGTTCGACGAGCTCGCCGCCGCCATCCTCCCCGGCACGGACGAGCAAGTTCTCATAAACCAGGACCAACTGTTGGAGGTCTTCCGCTTTTTCGACCGCGACGACAACGGCTACATCACGGCTGTAGAGCTCGTCGGCCTATCGCGAAATAAGCGAGATGATGCGGGAAGCCGACACCAACGGCGACGGCGTCATCAGCATCAATGAGTTCACCAACATCATCGAGAAATCGGCAGTTGTTTGATTACCTCGGATTGTCTGTTGCCTAGGTTTCTACTATGCTTCTTTTTTTATTCATTCCCCCCCCTCCTCCTTTTTTTCCAAAATTAGGGTTTGGAATCTTTGGTCCCGGTGATTTAAAATGTTGTTTTCTACATGTCTGGACACTAATTTGAAAGATGTTGGTTGAGAAACCTATGGAAAAAACAATGACAAATTGATTGTGATTTGTGATTTGGGGATAAAAAATTGGCTTTTGACGATGATAAACCTGCACAACTTACTAAAAGATAATTGTTCATTGATTTAAAAAAAAATATATATAAAAAATTTCTTAAAATCTCCAAAAAATTCGATAATCAAAATAATAAGATTGAGTAAATTTATAGTCAAAATATACGTATTGATGGGTCTACTCTCAGATCTGGAGTGAACCGCTCAGATCTGTTTGAATCGCCTTCGAACCGTTGCTAGACCGCGAGAACGCCTGCAAAAACTCAACGTCGGAGGTGTTTCTGGCGTAGAGCCTCCGACGCTCAAGTCAGTATATGAGAGAGATGAAGAGAGGTTGCGCAGCAGCTATGAGGGAGAGTATGGAATGAATGAGAGTTAGGGTTTGGGGTTACCTCACCTCCTTTATATAGGAGTGAATACTTACTTGAAGTACCCGAAATGCCCCGGTCGGTTGACCTGTAAGGTCTAAATTGCCCCGGTCGATTTGTCTCCCCTTGCTGCTGAGTCATCACAAGATTCCTTCCTATCCTTTGGAGAATGCAGAGCCTTGAGTATGTTACAAGTGTATGAAGTCGTCAGTGTGCCTCATGTCTCGAGATAGGAGGAGTCGACATCAAGCATGGACGAGTCGACCCAGGATCTTCTAGTTATTCGGAGGCTACGCTCTTGTTGGTCTGCCCAAATGGATGTCGACTACAGGGGAGTCGACTGCACAAAGTCGACTTCCGAAAGTCAACTTGTATGGGATCTGCCGTTTTTCGCCATCAATCATATGAAGAGTCGTCTTTGAGGAAGTCGACTTGAACATGTCGACGGGTACATGTCAACATGTGATCGGTTTGAGCCGCTTATCCGGTCGAGTAGAGAGCCTTTGACCCGGTATATCTTTATATGTCTACCAATTAATATTTTTATAAAATTTACTCAGTCTTATTACTCGGTCTTAATAAGACTATAATTGGTAAATCTTTGCCTAGTCTTATTATTTTGACTATAAAATTTATACGTATTTACCAAATATTTTTACAAGTATTTACCAACTTTATAAAATTTTTTGTACAAATTTTATTTTTTATAAAATTTATTTACTCAACCTTATTGAATATATGTCCGCACGCAGAAAAAATTGAATATTTACAAGATTCTTAATTACCAATTAGAAAGCAATATTGGTAAATTTCGCTCTACCATGGCGAAGTTGAAACTCATAACTAATAAAAAGACGAAGGTCATGGAAATTTCTTCCGATTTTCCTACATTTAATTTTGACTTCCGTAGTTTTTCTATTGACAATGTGGATGAACCATTTCTTTTTGGTAATTGTTTAATTTAAATTCAAATATTTTTACAATTTTTATTTTCATTTGGCACTGCTTAATAAATTGTTGATCGAATTATTTTGATATTGTAGAAGTAGGTATGGTCATTGAAGTTCAACCCATTCAAATCAAAATTGGTTCATGGAGAAAAGACTCAAATGATCCTATTTTCCATGATAGATTGCGAGTAAAGGGAAGACCACGTCAATGGGCTGGTTTGTTTTACTTTAATTGCAAACTCCAATATATTACTCTCAAATTACATGTTTTTTTTTTTTTATAATTCAATTATCATTTATACTTGGTCTTCATTCTAAAAAAATGTACAATAAAAATTATAATATTTTTTTCTCCAGTTACTTATGTTGACGGGCGTTTCCGGTCAACGGTTAAAAAGGTGAATAATGGAAAAGAAATAAGGAAAAGACAAGGAAATACGGTTTAATTGCAGTTTTATTAAAAGATCACGAGGTCGGCCTCTCGTGCGAGGTCGGCACTTGCGATATACTTAGATTTCTTACACAAATTTCTTACAAGTCTTACAGAGAGAAAATATAGAAAGAGCTCCTTACAGTTGTGTTTCAACAACCCAAAATAAATGAAGTGGGCTGCTATTTATAGTTGCTTTAAATGTGGCACTGTTCAGGTACTGTTCATCGGTCTTGTCGTACAGTGTTCTTTGCAGAGTAGTTCGGCGCCTCCCTGACAGAATTTAATGCGATTTGAGGTTTTCCTCATCATTGTCTGACGGGCATTTAATGCTGACAGGCTTTATGTCTTGGCTAGGGGAAGTAGGTCAACAGGCTAGGGCGTCCCATCCATTAGCCAATGATTACCCTCCAAGTGGCATTATTATACTACTATCGAAGTCGACACCTTCATTGCAGGGGCCCGTCCTGGGACTCCAAGTCGGCACCTTTTCTTTACTTGTTCCTCCTACCCTGGGGAACCTTTCTTCCAGACCGTCACTCTTCAGGTCGGCATCGGGGCTTCGTAGTCGCAAACGCCGGACTGGCAGACGGACTCATGGGGACGTCTAGGTCAAGAAATATTCCGGTCCAGCTCGGCACTTTCCGAGTGGACCGGGTCTTCCGGTTCGGCTCTCGAACTAGGGTGTCAACATACAGGCCCCCGAGCTCAGAGGGGGTGTCTTCAGCATCCTCTGTGAGGTCGCTACCCAAAAACGCATCCGAGGTCGGCACTCAGAACACACTTGGCAAAATTTTCTACCATTTGTCATGCACACCTTTCCCAGACCCGAAACGACGGGTCATTTAATGTGTCGTGACCGTTACGCTTCCAGTCGGTCGTGTCATGCTAGGATTCGTCCGCGCCAAACGGCGTGTCGTTCGGTGAAGCGGCGGTTTTTGGGGCGCGTTATACTCACGCGTTTCTTCTGGAACCGTCGGATCTTTTGAACCCTGACCGTTAGATCGAACCTTTAATTTTGAATTTCAAACGCTGCGCCACGTGTAATGCTGCGATTGGTCCTGGGTTTATATAAATATTTCCGTCGTCTTCCTTGGGAAGCTTTTACGAGCTTTCCAAATTTTCGAGCAATCCAATCTTTCGAACAGTCGAATTTCCGAGCAAGATTTCAGAGCGACTTTCGAGAATTTCTCGAGCTTCTTGGAGATCTCAAAACCGGTAATTCTATTTTTCTCGAAACCTTCCTTTTCATTTTTCGATTATGTCGAATTTATCCGACCATTCTGCGAACCTCCTCGCCGGAGATGGTGGTTTCACGGCGGAGGAGACCGGGGAGTTAGTGGTCTACTCCCCCCCGGCGACCGGGACGGTGCAGCCGCTCCGAGTTACCCCGATTTCTGCCGTCCGTGTGACGTCGGCGGCGGCGGCGACGGGACCGTCTCGCGGGGAATGTTCCGCCTTCCCTACGATCGAGATAATTGACCTCGGGTCAGGCCAGTCCGACGCCGACGAGGGCGAGAAGAAGTCTGGCTCCGCCTCTCCCGCCGAATCGGACGTAGACGCCGAACTAGTCGAGGAGACTCTTCGGGGCGACACTCGTGGACGAGAGCGGGTCCCCATGGGTCGCGAGGACACCGAGACCGACGCCGCGGTTGAGGCTGCCACCTCGGCTCCTCCCGGGTGTTGGTGCCGCCCTCCGCGGGTATGGCCCTCCACCGCCTCGGCTACTGCTTGGACAACCCCCTCGGTGCTTACCGACCTCGACCTGGCCAAGCTGAGGGGCAAGGCGTGCTTTGGCGCCGGGGTGAGGATTTTCGCCCCTTACGCAGGCGAGCGTATACACTGCCCCCCGCCGGGTTACATCGGCGTCTATCGGTCGAGCATCCTGCTCGGCCTCAGATTTCCGTTGCCGGGGGCCTTGAATGACATCCTATGCAACCTCGGCATAGGGATAAGTCAGCTCGTGCCGACGGTTTTCGCTCGACTTGTCGGCCTCATCGTCCTGTTTCGACGGCAAGGGTGGACGGATCCGACGAGTGCCGACGTCGGGTCCTTGTTTGTTTTCAAGAAATCCGGGGAGACCGGCAACTATTTTAGCTTGGTCGCCCCGGGTGTGAACAAGTCATTAATTCACAAAATCCCAGAATCTCTGCACGGCTATATGCCGGAGTGGTTCTGGGTCGGTGGTGAGTGGAGGACGCCCGACGCAGTCCGGCACCCAACCACTGAGTTCATTTCGGGCCCCTGTAAGTGCCAATT